CACACACACACACACACACACACACACACACACACACACACTCATATGAGAATATACGAATCCGAGTGCACATGTCTAATATACAACCCCAATTCCCAAAAAGTTGGGACGCTGTGTAAAATCTGCATAAAAACAGAATGCAAGGATCTGCAAATCTCACATTTTATTCACAATAGACAGTAGGAAACACATCAAATGTTTAAACTGAGAGAATGGACCATTTAAAAATTAAAAAAAAAAAGGTAATTGATGGCAGCGTCTCAAAATAGTTGGGAATGGACAACAAAAAGCTGACAAAGTAAGCGGTATCACCAGAGAGGCCCGGGGGCAATTGCCACCCTGCCCCCCGGCCCAGTCCGCCCCTGGGTACTAACAAGGAGGAGCTGGAAGAACTAATAAGGTTAATTGGCAACAGGTCAGTAACATGATTGTGTATAAAAAGAGCATCTTAGAGAGTCAGAGTGTCTCAGAAGTAAAGATGGTCAGAGGCTCACCAGTCTGTAAAAAGCTGCGTCTAAAAATTGTCTAACAATTTCAGAATAATGTTCCTCAATGTAAAATTGCAAAGACTTTAAATATATCATCATCTACATCAGCGGTCGCCAACCAGTGGTCCGTGGAATTATATTGGTCCCCGGGCCCCTCTGATGCTTTATTACTGGGCCGGGGCGGGCGGCACCACTCCCTCCCTCCACCAGCACTGCCACTCCTGCAGGCACACCTACACCTATGTATTTATGTATATAAAGATATAGTCCCATATTTATTGTTTCCTCATATATAAATATATGTGTGTGTGTATTTATATATAGAAACAAAAAATATGAGAATATATATATATTTCGAAAATTCATATCAGTGGTCCACGGAATTTTAAATTATGAATTTATTGGCCCATGAGGTCCGAAAGGTTGGCGACCGCTGATCTGGAGAGATGTAGCACAGCTATGAGTGGTGAGCCGGCTTCTCCTTTAATTATTCCCTTTAAGTGGATGCAGCCACCATTTGAGATAGAAAACTGCCCATTACATTAAACACGGGCTGCTTTGTTATTAAATTGCGACCATTTCTCCAGAAGTAAAAAGCATTGGCTGGCCGGTGATAGATGCTTCCCTTCACCCTATTGTACACAGTTGTATAAAACATAACACTAGACCCAACAGAAACCCCCTCTGATTACTTGTCAGGACGATAAAAGCTAAACCAATGGAGGAATTATGTCCACGGTTGTTTACCCGAGCCCGGGCCGCGCTCTAATTGCTGTCAGCTTGTTATTTTCATGACTTTTTTTCGCCCGCATGTTTTATTGTCATTTAAATTATTGTGGAAAATTCGGGGAGGAAAAATATTAGCGGATTAAGCCTAACATAACACATTCCAGAGCTAAGCCGGGTAATAAAATTATTCCCGGGCTACTTACACACTCGGAGGCTTAAAACATAATTTTGTAAACACCGGAGCTGCTTTTAAGGAGCGGGAAACCTTGAATACAACGTGATTTATATGGAGGAGTCATTTGTAACATTTACAGATTTGTATATGCAAAGCTTGTAGAAGTTTACTAGAAGGGAAGATAATGGAGGTAAATTTCTGGTCCTGGGAAGGAGAATTCTCCACCCTCACCGGAGGTCATGTCCTGTAATCACAGATTGACGTTCTAGGCAGCCGGTGGTAAGACGCCATTGGACTACAGCAGCTCCTCCTGGGTATGCCTGTACAACTGTGCGAAACAGAAGGGGAGGCCGGGGTTCAGCTTTAGCCCCTTAACCCCTTCATGACTGAGGCCTTTTTTTCATTTTTTGCACCCATGTTATATTCCACATTTTAGGCCTAAAAATGACCTAAAACCCCCACACATTATATATTTTCTGAATGCCAAGACCCTATACAATATAATGGTGGTAGTTGCAAATTTTTATGTTGCGCAATATTAGCGCAACTCCTTATTAAACCCCAAAATTTAGTGACAAATTTAATTAAATACCCCAAAACAAAATACCAATTTTTTTAATGAAATATAAAAGATGAGGTTACAACGAGTAAAACGATACCCAACATGCCCAGTTTACAAATTGCGTGGGACACCTATGAAGCCGGTCCTGGGCCCGTAGGAGGGGCAACGGAGCCCGGGAAGCACGGCGGGTGTGTCCGGCAGGGGGGGGGGGCGGCCCCTTCTTCGGGACGCAGAAGCGATCTGGCGACAGGTAAGTTGCCAGGATCGCTTCTGTTGTAAAGCCGACAGCCAGCTTTACAAGTTTAAACAGAGTCCCGGCGGCAAAAGTCGCCGGGAGTCTGTTTTAACAGCCCCGATGCTGGCGACGTACACTGTACGTCGTCAGTCACAAAGGGGTTAAAGACCCTTTCTCTGCCAAATACTTTTTTTTCAATTTTTTGCACACATGTTATAATCCACATTTTAGGCCTAAAAATTACTTAAAACCCAGAAACATTATATTTTTTCTGAAACCCAAGACCCTGTAGAATGAAATGGCGGCACGTGCAAATTTTTATGCTACACAATTTTAGCGCTATTCTTTATCAAACCCAAAATGTTTTGAAAAATGCACTTAAGGTAAATGCAGTATCCCGAAACACAATATAATAATCATTTTCATCGAGTTAACAGATACCCAGCATGCTCAGGTTAAAAATTGTGTGCGTCTGTGAAACGGCGGCAAAATTCAGTACCCTAAAAAGTCCGTAGACGACAATTTAAAAGCCCCTACTGGCTATCAATTTAGAGATATGCGTATATATTGGCCCTATAATTATTGCTCTCACTCGGGCGTGTGCAGTGATACCCAGCATGTGTAGCGTGATCATTGTTTTTGTACGTAGGCTCACCCAACGCGTGTGTACGTAAATACATGCGCGCTCGCGAGGTCCTTTAAATCATTTTTAAAATTATTTTTACATTTATTTTATTTAATATTTTTTAAAGCCTTTTTTTTTTGGCTTACTTTAATTGCTATCACATAGGGGGGCTTACAAGCCCCCATATTATAGCATATTGATGGTGACAGGTACTCTTTAAGGTGATACTGGGGGTCCAAAAGACTTATAGTATCACCTTTCCACTTTAAATAAGCTATTGAAGTGCAGATCGCACTTTAATAGCTTATTACTCAGCTTCAGGAGCCACGCAATGAAAGCTCAGGCACCTGGAAGTGATGCAATACGCGTCGCTCCCAGTCCTATAGAGCGGGAAGGAGATTGGTGAACGCATGTCCGCCGCTCTCCTCCTCAGCATCCTGCCGGGGGGAGGCTGGGCACTTAACTGGCCCGTAGAAGTGATCTGATGGCAGCTGAGCTGCCAGAATCGCTTCTATTGTAAAGCCGACTGCCGGCTTTACAATTGTAAACAAAGTCCCGAGTCTGTTAAACGGTTCCACTGCCAATAAAGTACTACGTACGTCACTGGTTGCAAAGGGGTTAAATACTCAGGCTCCCCTCCCTGCTTTGCAGTGCTACACAGTGCTTGTGCTTTACTGCTCCTTCCCATAATGCTAGTCTAGGAGTCAGCCAACTCATTAAACCCAATGCACTCCCGATGCAAATAATATGTGGAGGCCTATTTACTAAAAGAGTTGAGAAACTTCACTCAAACAATGTGTGACTTCAATTATCCAATGACGTGAAAAGCAAATTCCTCTTCACTTTAAATTCCCAATCCTGTGCAGATGAACTAAACAGGAATTTGCTTTTCACATGCTTAGAAAACTGAAGTGAATATTCCCACAATTTATTGAGTGAGGGTCCTCAACTGTTTTAGTAAATCAGCCCATTTATCTCAACCATTAAAAAGCATAGAGGATGTGTAATTGTACTGAGCTCCAGAGAGCGCCATCTAGTGGCCATTCTACAAATCTCTATATTTACTACAGGATCAAAAACACCAGCAAGCGTTGTAAGAATGTATCTGTCCGGTGAAAGAATGTATGCTGACTGCAAATAAACTACCATAAACATGTGTAAGAAACTAAAGTAATTGAATTATACATTTATTAGGAAATGTTTTGTCAATCTTAACATTTACTATGATAATTTATTGTAACAGATAGCACAGAAATGACTTTGATACATGGAAGTACATATGGAAGTTATTAGCAAATCCAACATTAATCTCAGGTAAAATAACATAATCTTTGCTGCTGAAAC